GAGGGCCTCATTTGTCAGTGCTGAGGAATTGGAAATCCAGAAATTCTCAATTGAGGGGGAGGAAATCGAAATGGAGGGGAGGGGGGATCGAAACCAAACAAGAAAGGGGGAGGAAATCAAAACCAAGATGAAAGGGGAAGCAAAACGGAGGGGAAAGGGGGGAATCGAAATGGAGGGGAGGGGGAAAACGAAACGGAGGGGGTGTGGGGGGAGCGAAAATGGAGGGGAGGGAAGAATCGAAACGGATTGGAGGGGGAAGCTTGGGAATAGGGCGGTCGGGAAAAAAATCGCGCCCAAGCAGCGCCCCGGCTGGGAGATCTTGGACGTTGATCACTGTGACCATCTAACGGTTTAAATATGTCGAAACGATCGCAATCGATCGTGACCGTCACATTTTCATGAACTTTCAGTTGACAGAACGGGCAACAGGCGAGAATTCCTTATATTATTAGAATGTGGAATTTACTCTTAACAGAAGTCTGGAGCTGGGTCATTCTGGGGCATCAAAGCGGAATTTGACACTAGTGTCGTTAAGGGTATCAAAGTGGAAACAAATTGACTCGGGTCTTCCCGAACCTGACCAGGGCTGACGTTTCAAAAAAAGGCACTCTGAGCTGACCCCCCCAAAAAAAAAAATAGTCTGAATGGCCTTCAGCCAGAATTTAGGGACTCTGAAATGTCAGAGTCCAGAGATGTGCAACTCTGAAATTCTCAGGATCGCACAAGTGTACTCAGGGTTACATTTTATGTTATTAAGAAAAGCTATTCTTGTGTATTACATTTTGCTACATTGGACAGGAGCCTATCTACAACTACTACTACCAAACCAAGCAATCACCACTAGCTAACAGGCACCTAGAACTCCGGCACATCTACAGTAATCTCATCATCACCCCCCTCATCGTCGGACAGGAAAGGGTCGTCGCCTAATGTTGGAGCCGCATCATTCTCATCATCACCCCCATCCTCCTCAGCCCACCCCTCCCCCGCGTACTCTGGCACCTCCCCCTGTCCATCCGTTGTGTCCCCCGCCACCTCACCCTCTAGGGCCTTCCCCTTGCGTTTTCGTTCCGCTCTTGCGAAGACAACAGATCGTGCTGGCCGTCTCAGCTTCTCTCGCCAGGTCGCTAGGGCTTCGGTCCAATTGATGTCATACTGCAGCAGCGAGATGGCCATCAACTCGGAGAGGCGCGCGTTGCAGAGTGAGCCACGGACCCAGGACTTAATCACATTCTGCCGAGAGAAGCCCCTCTCACATTCGACGGTTGACAAAGGCAGCACGGCGCAGGCCTGCCAGAGGCGCATCAGATTGGGCCAGCGCCTGACACGGGGCACAAAAACAGAGGCGGAAGAAAGGCAGTAGGAAATGCATACAGTGAAGGCGGATAACAAAAAGATGCGGTTGGCAAGGGCGGCGATGTTGTGCACACTTGGCAAGTAGAATGGAAGGTGGTGATTCACAAACGACAATATGGTTGGACTTGCCTGCTCGAGTCCGTCTTCGTGAGGTAGTTTGCCAGGCCTTGGTGGAAACTCTCCACCTCGTGATGATTCTGCATGATCGGCGCCCAAGTTGCGAGCTCCCTCTCCGCTGCCTTCACGTCGAAGCCTGGCAGCTTGTGCTCGAAGATGCCGCTGCATCCAAGCAGATACTCTCTCGTCTTCTTCTCGCGCTGCGCCCGTTGTCTCGGCCACTTCGCCGCCACCCAGAGCTTCGTCGGCGACATCTTGCGCAGATCCAGCATCCGCTCTTGTACGTTGGTCATGGTATCCTTGGCGTGCTTCTGGCACAGCTGCACGCAGTCCTTGTAGCTGCTCCCGTACTGGTGCTTGTCGAGGTGCCGCTCGTGCATCTTGTACGTATGGGTGACGGGGTTCCCCTCCAAGTCGATACCGCGCACCTTCACCCGCTTCGTTCCGCCGCGCCCGTACACCGCGAGGAACGCCGAGAGCCAGGTGTTTTCGGCGCCGACACCGAAAATCTCCCCGAAGTCGACATAGCGGTGCCGCAGATCCCCCAGTGTCGCGTCGATGTCCGTTGCCACCTCTGTGACATCGACCTGCGGTGTGAGAGGGGGGGGACACAGAGGAGTGAAAGACATGAGTACTTGCACCAGAGGAGAACACCATGCTTGCAAACATGAGCATCTTACCTCTCGCTTCTGAAACTTGAGGTTGAGGTCGTTCATGAGTGCCAGCATGTCGGCCAGGTAGAAGAGGCAAAACTGAAACTTATACGAAATCACAACCTCATACAGGGGATGCTCATACTCATACAGCAGAACAATAGCAGCACCCAACACTTTACACAGGCGTCGGATTGCCTCTCCCCTGGACAACCATCGAACTTGATGGATGCCTTGAACCTCAAGGTTGGTGCTGTGAATCGCCCGCTGCAGATGCTTGAAACGACTGCTCCATACGCTCGACCGGCCGAGAAGGTCCGCAAGGGTGCGAGTGACTTTGTCGACCATGTCGAGGTCTGGACATGAAGCTGCAGCATCCTTCACAGCAAGTGCTTCTCTGCATGTACCGACATGGGTAGTGGTTAGCACACAGAAACATAAGCATAAACACACAGCAAGGAATACTTTAACAAACCTGTGGGCGATGCAGTGGGAGGAAAAAAGGTGCGGGATGATGTCTCGCAGTCGCGCCACAAGCCCGTTGTCTCGGCCGACCATCACCGACGCGCCGTCTGTGCTGATGCCAACGATGCGTTGGAGGTCGATGCCGGACGACTCCAGGTGGGCTAAGAGAGTGGCCATAAGAGAAGCGGCGTCGCACTTGTCAACGTTTAGCAGGGCTAGGAATTCGGTGACGACTCGACGCAGCCGCATGAATGTGATGTAGACGATCAAGTGCTTTCCCCGCGTGCGGTCGGTGCTTTCGTCGCATGAGATGCCGAGGTAAGGTGAGCTCTTGATGTGCTCCATCTGAGTAGCCAGCAGATGCGTAGAGAGACAGTTGACCATCTGCTGGAACCCGTACCTGCAGTGGCATAATCAGAAGTGAGACACTGGTTAATTAGCATTGGAAATGCATTGAAATTTACAAGGTTCATATCAAAATCCAACCATCAACCGGCGAAAGCCAGGTAGCCTTACCTGGTGAGATACACTCCGTACGACTGGAGAGGTATGTCTGGTGTGTCTTGCTCTGCCATGAAACGAAGCAGCCGGGGAAACATGGCGATAGGAGCGTCGTTCTTGCAAAGAAATTCCACGCACCGCAAAAGACGGATGACGCGGCGGCCTTCGACATCGACGGTGGCGAAGCTTGTCATCTTCTGCTGCTTGTCTTCAATTTCCTTTTGAATCTCGAGCTGCCGGCGAACTGCCGCTTCGTGGACTGTTGAGTGTTCATGAATGCGCATCGTCTGTGTCTGGAGATCTCGCCCGCCGTCGCCTGGCCTTGAATACTTCGTCGTTTCTTTGCCGAAGGCTCGGCAAACGCTGCACTTAAGAGCGGGGTAGCCATCTTTACTACGGGTAAGTACAAGCCATGGGAAATAACGCAGCCAATCATTCTTATACTTAGCCTCCGCGACTAGGTACTTCTGCTCGATCAATTCCTCTGTACTTAGCCTCGGTGGCGGCGGTTCATCAGGGCGGGTGACGGGGGTAGGTGAGCGCGGTGGTGAGGGAGGGCGAATCTGGCCACCTGAGTTGATACGCTGCTGTGTATACTTCGTCGTACGTTGTTTCTTCGCCGAAGAGACAGTCGATGCGCACGGCACACTATAACGAACGGTAGAGGCAGTGGCGCAGTCAATAGGATCCACTGGTCCTCTGCTAGAAGATGCTATGGCTGGTGGGAGAACGAACGGAGCGGGGGCAGGTCTACTAGGCAACGATGGCTCATCGCGTGGGGTCTCGTTTACAACGGTTATGGCGACAAAAGGCGGAGGAGCCGATGCGGCAACGGGCCGCAAGACATCTAGGGCGCTCCTTGGCGCAACGACAGGAACCTTACTGCTGCGCGGCTCATCACCGTCAGCTGGAGCATCGTCGTCGCCATCCTTTTCAGGCATGGCGAGAGGAGAAACGACGAGTAGGAAATGAAGATAGTGACTACAACTACGTCTGTGTCGAAATGAACAACATGAAGGATTTCCCCTCTAAAACCTGAAGCAGTGCGTTCGAAGGTGGTGGGTAAGGAACAACTGGAGAAGAAGGGGTCCATCAAACCCGTGTCGCACCTTTCTTGAAAGGCGTGACGCGGTTTCGGGACTTGTCCATGCACAACACAGCGCCATGCTGCCTAGTCGATGTGTTGGCTGCAACTGCAGCCAATGGGGATGATGGCCAACCTCTGCAAGGCTGGCACAGAGGGCACGGGCCCGAAGTTCGCGCATGCACAGAGAGCAACAGAGCAGAATCTGTGGTCCTTAGTGGCTCGGCGTGGCAGCATTTTTGCTGCGCTGGGTAGCAGAGTGCCCACTGTGGGCAGAGTATTCATTGGACTTGGCGGATTTTTCAAGGAAGTGTGGATTCTCCACGTGACGCGGGCGGGAATCACTGATGGCATGCGAAATTTCTAGGGATCTTGCGTGCCCCGTGGAAATCTGTTTCAGGGTTCGTACCCGATGTACTCTGAAAACTCAGTATTGGGTTAGCGTGAACTCTGATTTTTTCAGGATCCCTAAAGTCTAAGTCTGAATCGATCAGGATTGGGAAAATGCCTTATCTGGAAATTCAGGTTTAGCCAAAAAACCGGTCTGAGATTTCAGACTAATCAGAGCAAATAGTCTGATAAAGTCAGCCCTGAACCTGACGGCTGTTTTTCTGGAAACTCACGCTGGCGAATTAAGCAGCATACGAGTGGCACGAAAATAGCTCCCGATCAGTCACATTTCTCGCCCGCCAATATACGACTGCCATCGCCATACAATCACAGCCGTTTTTCGTTTTCACTTTCGTTTTTACACGACCGTCAGAATCACAAGACCCGCAGTTCGTTCTCATGTTGGCCTCGTGTCAAAATAGAATTCATCCTCTTTGCAAAATCAGCGTTTCTTTCGTACACGACACGACCCTGATGGAAAAGCGAATTTTGGCTTGGCAACACTGGTGAATCAGCGTAAAATTTCTTGAGGAGGCTGATGGAAAGTTTTTTTTTGGAACATGACACTCAGCAATCAGGGTGCCCTAAAACCAATCATGGGGCCTGCCCCCGAGTCTGGTCCAACCTTTATCCAGGCGCGAAGGAATACGCCCTCGCTCGACTTTAGTTCACTTCTGTGCAGGAGCCGAGTCACACCAAACACAGTGGCTGCTGGGAGGCCACACCCCCCTTCTTGCCCTTACCACACCTTCATCCTTGGCACTCCCAACCATCGATCTCCACAGAGCTTTCCCTCAGCCTGTGGCCAAACTGCAATCCGTTCTCCCTCACTGCCTCCCCTCTCACTCCAGTGCCCTGCCTCCCATCCCCTCACTACTCCCCCTCTACCTCTCCCTCTCCCTCGTTCTCCCCTCCCCATGTCCCTCCCTCCCTGCCTCTGGATCCTTAACCCTATTTCCGCTACCCCCCAGTTCCTACCTTGCTCACCCCCAACTTCCCCCCAAGTTCCCTTTTGCCCTGCACCGGTCACAGCACGGGCGCGCTTCTCTTGCGCTTGCTGCGCTCCAGCTCACTCCCCCCGCTCGCACCCCCGCCCCCTCCCTCCAGCCCCATGCCCAGGTGGTCCACCATGGTTTCCGACACCACCAGGCAGTACATCTAGGTGCTCACTTCTCACACACCAGTCACAGCCACAGTCACAGAACCAGAGCGCTTCTCTTGCTTCGCCTCAGACCCCCCCTCTTCCCTCCCCACATCACAGCACGGGCGCGCTTCTCTTACGCTTGCTGCGCTCCAGATCGGCCCCCCCACTGGCACCAGCACCCCCGCCCGCCCCCTCCAGCCCCATGCCCATGCCCAGGTGGTCCACCATGGTTTCCGACACGGCCAGGCGGTACATCTGCCTCAAGCCCTCGTTGGCGCGCTGCAGGTTGCTCAGGAGGCGCGCGTTCTGCAGTTGGAGAGCCACCAGTGATTGGTCCTCCTGGGAATGAAGGAAAGGGGTGGGTAGGAGGGGGGGGGGAGAGAGAGGAAGCAGAGTGGGAGTTTCCGACACGGCCAGGTGGTACATCTACCTCAGGCCCTCGTTGGCGCGCTGCAGGTTGCTCAAGAGGCACACGTTCTGCAGCTGGAGAGCCACCAGAGATTGGTCCTCCTGGGAATGAAGCAGGGGGGTGGGTGGGTGGGGGGGGTGGAGGGAGAGGAGGCAGGGGAGGGAGAGTTATGGTCCTAGCCAGGCGGTACATATCTGCCGCAGCCGCCCCTCGTTGGCGCGCTGCAGGTTGCTCAGCAGCCGGGCGTTTTGGAGTTGGAGTGCCACTAAGGAAGGATGGGTCCTCCTGGATGGGAAAGGGAGGGTGAGGGGGGCACCCCGGGGAGGGGGAGCGAGGAGAAGGAAAGGAGTGAGCAATAAGAGGCAGTGGGAACAGGGACCGAGGTGACAGAGCAACCAACAGCCACCAACAGCCACCAACAGCCACCAACAGCCACCAACAGCCACCAACAGCCACCAACAGCCACCAACAGCCACCAACAGCCACCAAGAGCCACCAACAGCCACCAAGAGCCACCAACAGCCACCAACAGCCACCAACAGCCACCAACAGCCACCACCAGCCACCAGCAGCCACCAACAGCCACCAACAGCCACCAACAGCCACCAACAGCCACCAACAGCCACCAACAGCCACCAACAGCCACCAACAGCCACCAACAGCCACCAACAGCCACCAACAGCCACCAACAGCCACCAAAAGCCACCAACAGCCACCAACAGCCACCAACAGCCACCAACAGCCACCAACAGCCACCAAAAGCCACCAACAGCCACCAACAGCCACCAACAGCCACCAACAGACACCAACAGACACCAACAGCCACCAACAGCCACCAACAGCCACCAACAGCCACCAACAGCCACCAACAGCCACCAACAGCCACCAACAGCCACCAACAGCCACCAACAGACACCAACAGCCACCAACAGCCACCAACAGCCACCAACAGCCACCAACAGCCACCAACAGCCACCAACAGCCACCAACAACCACCAACAGCCACCAACAGCCACCAACAGCCGCCAACAGCCACCAACAGCCACCAACAGCCACCAAGAACCCAACGAACCAGTGATTAAAGCACACAATCAATAAGATAACCCCCTCTCACCTTGGTCTCAACCACTGTCCGTCCCAGCACCTCGCTGCTATAGCACCCGTCCACTCCTCCCCACTCCTCGCCCTCCCTCTCCCCGCCAACACTCCCCGGAACAGGCACCAGCCCCGCACCCACTCCCCCCGCCCCCCCTACTCCCCCTCCGCCTCCCCCCGCCACGCTCGGCAGCAGCAGAGGCGCCTCCTCCCATGGCTCCGAGCCGGAAAGGCCCGTGGCGGCAGCGTTGGCGTATTTGTGCAGGGGCATGGGGGGGAGTGCGGCGGGCTTGCGCGCAGAGGCAGGGGCGGAGGAGCGGGAGATGTCAGCGGAGGGGAAGAGCGTGGGGGGCTTGGGGAGGACCAGCAAACACGAGACAGGGCCTGGGCGGAAGAGGGGGGCGGGGGGGAGGGGGAGGGGAAGGGGGGAAGTACAGAAGGAAGTTGTTGTGGGCAACAAGGAATGGGAAGGAGGGGGGGGAGATGTCAGCAGAGGGGAAGAGCGTGGGGGGCTTGGGGAGAACCAGCAGACACGAGACAGGGCCTGGGGGAAGTGGGGGAAGAGGGGGAGGGTTAAGGGGGTGGAGAGAGGGGGAGGGAGGGGTTGGGGAGGGAGAGACGGAAGGCAGAAGACGATTGTGAGGATGGGGGAGAGGGAGTGGGGAGGACGAGGAGGGGAAAGTCAGAGGAACGGCAGAGAGGAATGGCAGAGAGGAACGGCAGAGAGGAACGGCAGAGAGGAACGGCAGAGAGGAACGGCAGCAGAGGGGTAGGCAGAGTGAGGAGGGGACAGGAGAGCGGGCAGGCGAGCGGGCAGGAGCAGGGGAGCAGGCAGGTATGGGACCTACCCTTGCAGTTGGTGAAGGTTCTGAGAAGCTGCCTGGTGACGGTGTCCCACACGCGCACAGTGCAGTCCTCTGATGCTGACACCAGCGACACCGCGTCCGCACTGAACTCCAGCGCCGTGATGCTGTGACTGCGGGGGGGAGCAGGGAGGGGCGAGGGGCGAGGGAAAGAAGGAAGGAGGGAGGATGGAAAGAAGGGAAGCAGGATGTGAGGTGACTGAAACCCAGCGCCGTGATGCTGTGACTGTGCGTGTGCGCGTGGGGAGGGGGTGTGGGGGGGCAAGGGAGGGGAACAGGGACAGGGACAGGGACAGGGACAGGGACAGGGGCGAGCGGAAAGGCGGGACGAGAGAGTAATGATTTTAGAGTCGACTGCGAAATCACCTCCAGCGCCGTGATGCTGTGACTGGCGGGGGGAGAGCAGGGAGGGGCGAGGTAAGGACGGAAGGAGGGACGCGGGGACGAGGGGACGAGAGAAAGCGGGGAAGGAGGATGTGAGGTGTTAAATCAGGTGCTTTACCATGGCACTGAGTCCGCACTGGACCCCAGCGCCCTGATGCTGTGACTCTGTGTTGGGGGGGGGAGGGGGGAAGGGGAAGAACAGAGAAAGAGGGAGGAGAGCAAGGGACGGAGGGAGGCAGGGGGAAGAGGGGAGGGAGGATGTGAGTTGCCTGACCATGGCTCAACGTGGCTGACCGAGGAGGCAGAGAGGCAACCAGCAGAGAGGGAAGACTGGCTTTGAGTCGACTACAACCTCAAAACGCATCTGACAGAGAAGCAGAGAGGGAGCAAAAGGCGACAACAGGGGAAGAAGCAGAGGGGGGAGAGGGGGAGAGAGGCGGGGAGGGGGGGAGAGGGGGCAGCAAGAGCAGCAGGGGCAGCAGGGGCAGCAGGGGCACCTGTGGCCGACGAGCGCGTCGTCATGTGCCATGGGGTCCATGGCGGTGCCATGCACAGCTGTGAAGTTGAGCGCCGTCAGGTAGATGTTGCCGTCCGCGCCCCCCGCGTACAGCGTGTACTCGCCAGGATCCATGGCTGCTGCTGTGATGGCCACTGGAAACACGTACGACCGGAGTAATGCGCCCATCGCCAGACTCCAGATCTGAGAAGGGTGGGGGGGGAGAGCGGCGTTGGGGATGGGGATGTGGAGGTGAAGGGATGGAGGTGAGAGGAGGCAGGTGGGGTGGGCTTTTGAGGTGCCTCAAAAGTCGCCTCAAAAGTCGTTTCCAAAGGAGGCAGGTGGGTGGGGAAGGAGAGGAGGGTTGGAAAGGCCGAAAGGAAGGGAGGGAGGGGGACGAGGACCAGGGGAACAGAGCACGTGGACGTGCATGCAGGCGGACAGGGCACGCATCATCCAAGCACGCAGCGCAAGGACGAGAGCGGGACGGAGCAGGGCGGAGAGGAAGCGGAGCCCACCTTGCATGAGTGGTCGGAGGACGACGAGACGAGCACGGAGTTGACCCCGCCCGCTGCCATCCACAGCGCCGTGATGGACTGGGGGGGGGTGGGGGGGAGGGCGGGGGGGGTTGGGGGAAGGGGGGGTGTGGGGGAAGAGAGAAGAGAGACGGATGCATTGTGTGAGAGGGAGGATATGGGCACCCTAACAACCCCACTAAGTACCCTAAGCCCCCTTCACGCCCTAACCTTGGTTTATACCCTAACCCCCCAGCCCCCTACCTGTTGGTGCTGCTGCCACGTGTACATAGGCTGCACGCCCGCTGACCCCTCCGCTCCCCCCGCCCCGCCCTTGCTGCTCCCGCCCCCCCCCCCCCCCCGCCCCTCCCCCTGGCTGGTTCACTCCGTCCAGTATCCTGCGCGCATGAGGGGGGGAAATGAAAAGGGGGAAGGGGGAGCATGGGGGGCGAAAGCAGAGGGGGAGGCGGCAGAGACTTAGGGTTTGCGCGGGAAGGGCGGAGGGTTTCTAGCGAGCAGGTAGCAAGCATAGTGTAACAAGCTCACACACGTCAGCATGACTCACCGCACGAGGGGCGTAACGTGGATAATGCTGTCCTCCCCCGCCGACACCAGCAGCGCATCGTCATCCGACAGCGCGAGACACGTCACCGCGCGGTAGTGCGCCGCCCACACGCGCAGCAGCCGCCCCGTCGCCGCTTCCCAAACGTAAACCCTCCCCGAAACCCCGCCCCCGCACAGGTACACGCCGTCCGCGGTCGCCGCCAGCGGCCCTATGGCCTCCGACGTAGGGCTGCGCACCGCCACCGCCGACTGCGCGGGGACGGGGATTGCACGGGGACGGGGAGCGGGGGAGCGCGCGCGGAAGGAATTTGTGTGGGGAACAGGAGAGCGCGCGGATGGGGATTGCGCAGGGTAAAGGCGCGAAGTCGGAGGATTTTTCTTCTTCTTCTTCTCTTAAAACACCGAATACTTGTGAGTCGACTAGCGAAGTAACGGATCAGTAGCGAGGGACCGTCTCGAGTCGGATAATTTAAACGACTCACGAGAATGCCCACCTACCTTCCGCCACGACCACACGTTCACTGCGCCCGCCTTGGATTCCCCGCGCGTCAGCTGCGACACCGCCACGTGGTCCCTTCCCATTGCGCAGAGCCCGCGCCGCTGTGACGCGGACGACACGAGCGACGCGAGGAGCGACCCGGTGGTGAGGTCCCAGACGCACACGGGCGAATCCACGGACGCCGCCGCCACCACCACCTCCTGTAGCGCCGCCATTCGCGCTACCGCTAATGCCGCCGGCGAAAGGTTTAGCGCGGGGACTACTGAATCGCCGCTGTATCCGCGGTGACGCGACCGACGCCGCCGGAGGTTTAGCGCGCGCGGACTAAATCGCCGCAAAGTCCGCGCTAAAGCTTGGCGCTAGCCTGGCACTGGGCTGCCGGCCTCAGCTGATCTGCTGTAGCGTCTAAAGTGTCGCCCTAGAGATTGACGCGATCGCTGCCGTCCAGAACTCGAGAGCACCTGAAACCCGCTGGAACCCCTTTCAAAGCCGATCGACCTGAGCCGTTAGACAGAAACCTGGAGACCGGGGATCCATGATCTATGGGGTTTGCGAGGTCCTAGGTATCTCCGAGGCGACAGGTCCTCTTGCTCCGCGACGCGCTACAGCCAGAAACCCTAACGGGACGCGGCGGGCCAGGGCAATTCTCCGGGCCAATGCCCGCCATTCGAAGGCGCCTGATGCTAAGGGGTGCTGAGCAAAAACGGAATATAATCGTCGTATCAGAGAACACGGAAGGTCTCTTGGGTTGGGGTTGGGATGAATGGTTTTGGAGCAGAGCGATGCGGAGGAGCAAGGTACACTTAGCCCGCGGTAATCTCACACCCTGAAACTAGGCGGCATAAGAATTGTTTTTCCACCCTGACCATTTCTGTGCGTAGACAGAAATGGTGGCTACTACTGGTGCTCGACGCCAACACCTGGACCACTAGCTGCACCACGGCGACCTCCGGAACACTCCACTCCAGCACCCCCAGAGCGAGAACTATCTCCAGCACCGGTGCCACCTCTAGGCCCGCCGACACAAGCCACGACAGGAACCCCAGGACTAGCACCCTCCTCAGCGCCAGCACCCCCAGAGTCCACGGACGGCTGCTGCTGCGGTGGCGGCGGCTGCTGCGGCTACGGCTGCGACGACGGATGCGGCTACGACGACGGCTGCGGCTGCTGCTGCGGTGGCAACTGTGGCGATTGCTGCGACGGCAAAGGAGGAGACACCGGGGGAGAGTAAGGCGGCAAGAACGGCCCCGCGGGGCCACCAGAGTCAGCCGAATCCTCGACCGGGACAACCATCAGGAGGGGAGTGACGTGAGACACAGCAGATGGAGCAGGACAGGGAGGGAGGGGAGCAAGGGCTACTGGAGGAGCGGGAACCAGAAACAGGGGCGGGGAAACCGGGAGACCTTGGTGGGGAAAGCGGTGGTAAAAGGAGACCGACTCGTCGAAAGTGGTGTCATGGGAGTAAAAGAAGCAGTGAGACGCAGGTGGTAAAAATGCCAGTCAGACGAGTCAAGGGGGAAACCGAGGAAGACACAGGGGACAGTGAGGACAGTGAGCTTGTCCGTGCTAGAGGCACGAACTTGAGTGAGGCAGCCCCAGACGTAGAACGAGGACGCGTCGCCAGGGAACCCGGTCTAGAGAAGGGTCGGCGAAACCTGCGGCCCCTGGGAGTGCGGCCACAGGTTAAGCTGGTGAGCGGTGTAGCAAACGGCGAATGGCCACATAAAATGGGTGCACCGGCATGGATCATGGAGGTACGAGCCACCTCCATGACCAAACCGATGCGTCGCTCAGCGACCCCATTCTGCTGCGGGGAGTCTGGTAGGGTGTATGACTGGGTGATGCCCTCCGCACGACAGATCTATCCAAGCCGACTAGAGGCGAACTTGCCACCACGGTCGGAGTGGAGACACGGCACATGGAGACCGCGGTGGAGGCGCGCGGCTACGACCCACGGGATAAGAACGTCAGGGATATCGGCCTTTCGCTCCAGGGAAAACACCATGGTGTCACACGTGTATTCGTCGATGAGCACGAGAAAGTAGCGCTCGCGACGCGGCCCAGGGATAGGGGCTGGGCCCCAGACGTCCAGGTGCAGGGTCTGGAGTGGTGCGGTGGCAGGGCGAAGCGAGGAGGAATGAAGAGCACGGCGCAACCGGCACTCGACGCAGGGCGTGCACGGCGGTGCAGGGGGAGGGAGGGAGGGCACAAAGCGACGGAGGGAGATCTAGGACGAGACCGTGCTGAGACATGTAACGCAGGCACGGGAGTGCGGGGTGGCCTAGGCGGTGGTGCCACAGAAGCGACGGGTGAGTGAGCGACCGACACAAGTAAGCCGCAGCGACCTGGGTAGACGCAGGACTCGGGGAGGACACGCCCACCAGGGGTGAAGCAGTGTCCAGCGTAAACATGCCAGACGTCGGGTCCCGGGGGAACGTCGCAAGGGGGGCAGCTGAGGAGGCCTCGGTACAGACAGCGTACCGCTCATGACCTGGGAACGTAGTGGTGGCGCCGAGGTCCTGAAGACAGCCGACACCAACTAAGTTCCTGGAAAACGAAGGGATGTGCAGGCGTGTAAGAGAACCCGAGGGAACCGCTGGACAGAGAAGGGTAGTTTAGCTACATGCAATGACAGGACCAGAGGAGGGGTCAGCAAGTGCGACAGCGGCAGACGCGGCAAGCAGCGTGAGTATGGCATGGTCGCGGAAGAAGCAGGCAGACGCACCGGTGTCAAGTGTAAAGGACATCGAAGCGGAAGCGGCAGCTGAAGGAGGAGCGAGTGTACAGCATAAGCTAGACAAGGCAAAAGGTTCTACGCCTGACGTAGCAAGGGAGTCTGTACTACACACAGAGATTACACATAAACTAGATAACACAGGGTAATAAGATCTGGGCACACTAGAAGCATTATCATACAGAGAATGCAGGGCAGAACTAATCTGATCCATGTCTAACTCAAAGACAGGCACACCGTAGCACGGCAGGCTGGGCCAGTCAGGGAGGTCCAAGGCCGGGCCGAAGCGGCGACGAAAGAGATCGTCGAGGCGGCGGAAGCAGCGGGCGGTCGGGTGTGGGCGGCGTCACACAGTGCCGCGGAGGGGGCCGGTCTGGAGCTTGTACTGGCAGCTCACAGCACTGAAGCTGCCGGCCAAAGCCGAGCTGCGAGGACCGCCACCGCGGCCACCACCTCCAGAGGCTCCTGGCCACCCCGGTGGGAGGCGGGCCCACGGTTGTTGCTGCTGCTGCTGTGGCTGCTGCGGCAACGGTTGCTACTGCTGCTGCTCCTGGGCACCAGCCCCAATCCCCTCATCAGAACCACTGTCCCCTCCACCCTCACCACCACGCCCTGCCTTGGGGCCACGACGGCCCCGACGCGGGCGCGGCTGCGGGGACGCCGCAGCTGCAATCTCAGCGGCAGGGGCAGCCGTAGCAACCGCGGCTGAAATGCCAGCGTACGTGCACTAGGAGGGTGCACAGCCCTGAAAGATAGGGCTTGCTGCAAAACCGCTCGACTGAGCAATAGTGCGCTGTCAAATCTCTATCTCGGACAGGGCGGTGACAAAGGCGGTCAAAGTGAGGTCACCGGTGTGCTGGCTAAGGAAATGGTCGCGACCACTGGCTAAGCGGTCCAAAGGGTGCATGGCAATGAGGTATAGGGTAGCGCACAACAGTGGGGGGAAGGCAATAAGCTGGGCGTCAGTGCTAGCGGCGCAGTTGCTAGTCTCTAGTGCACGGAGGTGGGTGGCTAGGTCAGCGACAGTGGGGAAAGCAGCAAGATTTGGGAACAGCATGGGGAGGATCAGGCGGCCAGCAGAGGCGGAGGCAGGCGTGGAGTAGCGCTCAACTACTGCATCTAGGAAATCATTTGCATTCGCGATAGCAGTGAAGCGCGGACGCTCAGACAGGGTAAGAGGATGACTAATGGCTAGCTGCGCTACGGCATTGCGGGAATCCCAGACAGCGCGAGATAGCGCAGCAGCAGAAAAGGCCTCACGCTGAGCAGTGGTGGGGTCAGCAGGGAGGGGATCAGGCGCGGGGGGGTGGGGAAGCAAGCCATCAACATGCACAGCCACGGAGTGCCCATCCTGGCGCTGACCTGTTAGGTGACGGCGGAGATCGACAAGCCAGGCGGCGAAGTCGATCGCGTGGCCCTCCGCGTCCAGGCGGAGTGTCGCGTCCACCATCGCGCGACCTTAGCGTCACAGCTCCACGGTGGTACGGCGGCACAGCGACATAGCGGCACAGCTAATCAGCGGCACGGCGGCACAGCGACACAGCTACACAGCGGCGCGGCGGCAAAACTCTCTGGCGGAAAAGCCGAGCGGAAGGCCGAGCAGGCCGCACAGCGCCCGATGCGCGTAGTAGGCCGGCAAGGCACGGCGGGCCGGCGGAGCGCAAGGGCCGGTCGGGGCGCGTAAGGGACCAGCGGGGCTCAAGGGGCCGGCGAGGCGCTAAGGGACCAGCGGGAGCTCGAGGGGCTGACGGGGCGCTAAGGGACCGGCAGGGTGCTAAGGGGGGCCAGCGGGGCGCGAAGGGCCGGCGGGGCACGTAGGGGACCAGCGGGGCGCGAAGGGCCGGCGAGGCGTGTAGGGGACCAGCGGGGCGAAAAGGGGGTCGACGGGGCGCTAAGGGCCGGCGGGGCGCAGGAGGGACCAGCCGGGCGTGAGGGCCGGGCCGGGGCACAAAAGGGGCCGAAGGGACGCGTAGGGGACCAGCGGGGGGGGGCGAGGGGTCGGCGCGGCGCTAAGGGCCGGTGGGGCGCGTAAGGGACCAGTGGGCGCGAGGGCCAGGCAGGGCGCGAGGGGCACAAAGGGACCAGCGGGCGGAAGGGGGGTCGTCGGGGCGCTAAGGGCTAGCGGGGCGCTAAGCTAGGGCGAGGGCGCAAGCGGGTGAACGGAGCTAACCTACTATGATACCATGTTAAGATAGCAGAATGACTAGAACAAGTGAGAACAGGGGAGATATAGGGTTGGAATTGTACCCTCTATGAACACAAACCTATCAATCCTATAAGGTCTACATATAAACATATGTATAAGTTGACAATGTTGACCGTGTGTCCAGGGCTTTCAATTTACTAACCGGCTGTTCAAATGTAAGACAAGAACACTGCGTATTTGCTTCAGTAGCTGTAGCTGTTGGTTTAGGGGAGGACATGGTTAGTGCGTGTTCATTCAGCCTCTTCCCAGACCAACTTCTCCCAGACTAGCGCATTACAGTGCAGTGCAATTGTAACGCGGAACAGTTCAGTACGGTTCTGTGTGGTGCGGCACAGAATTGACGCGAAATTGGGCTTGGCAATGCCGAGATTCAGGCGAGGGGGGCAAGTCTGGAAAGAGGCTAGCCTGGGATGGAATAGGGAGAAGGGGAGGGCGAGCGAGAACTGCACTCGTTCTGGAAGGCCCGTATGTCACAGAGCAAGTGCGATGGCATGTGCTTGGGGGTTCCCTTATTCCGCTGGATAAACGTGCGATGGCAAGGATAGACGTGTGCGCGTGACCAGAGGGGCCACCGCCCATGGATCCAGAACCATGCAGGAGCATGGCTGTGGAGCGGAAGTGGAGCAAGATGTGGAGTATCCGGTCCGGGGGGCAGGGAGTGAGTGTGGGTGAACCATTCATGTGCAGGGGCGAGAAGCAAGCAGCACATGGGGAGACACTGGATACTGTCACGCTGGTGGCAGAGGCTGGAGAGTAGACGCACGCGAGCCAAGGAGGGAGGGGGGGAAGGGGGGGATGCTTGTGTGCATGCTGGGGGCAAAAAGTGTGCGTATGAGTAGACGGGGGAGGTTTGGGGAATGTGGGATGGGTGGGTGGGCGAGTGGTGGTGGGAAGAAGAGAGGGGGGGGTGGGGGGGAAGGGGGAGGGGAGGGAGGGAGGGGAGAGGAGGTGTGGGTGGTGGCGCATGCAGGTGCAAGAGGTGCATTGCACACAGGGGAGGAAGGGGTGCACATGTGGGGCAAGTGCCACGTGAGCCTGGCGTAGGGGAGGGGGCAAGAGGTGCGAGTACTTGGGTGGCCATATGCATGTTCCTGCATGAAGCACTAGAATGTCATCATGCGTCACAGGGGTAAGGGTGGTGTGACAGAGGGGTATGCATTGGGGGACAGGGGACTAGAGGGATTGTGGGCGGAGTGCAGGGCTAAGAGTTTCATGCATGTGGGGGGGGGGGGGAGGAGGAGGAGGAGGAGGAGGAGGAGGAGGAGGAGGAGGAGGAGGAGGAGGAGGAGGAGGAGGAGGAGGAGGAGGAGGAGGAGGAGGAGGAGGAGGAGGAGGAGGAGGAGGAGCAAGATGGATTTCGAGAGGTGAGGGGTACAAGCACACGGCCGGCATCCCAGTCGAATCTCATATCCACATCCGAACAGAAATAAGGCACGGTACAAACGTTTTTCCTCTCTGCCAGAACCATAATGGGAAGGGGGTGTGGGGGGGGAGGGACCTTGTCAGTTTCAAGCAAACAACCACGGAGACAATACCTCAAGACCTCATATATACAATGGCAGACTCAGTGACCGTCGCTGTTGCTGCAGCCGTCTACGAAGGGCACTGCATCCCAGCAATGCACCTGCACCACACACAGCCAGGCCCATGGAATGGTTTCTTACATTACATGGTAAGGACACGCCCGAATTCAAGCCAAAAACAAAAAACGGAGGCAGAGAGAAACGGAGAAAGGGAGAAACTAAAGGGGGGATGGAGGGAGAAAAAGGAGAGGGGGGGAGGGAGGGAAGAGAGAGAGATACAAAGGGAATCCCGATCATGGGATCATGAGCACTCACTGGAATGGCCGAGCTGTAGCTTCTCCCCTCGACACGGACACTTCTCCTCCACCTTGTCTGCCTCTGGCTGCGAATTGGCCCCCCATCAGCCCCACTCAAACCACCACCCTGCGCCCCAACATCTGCCTCTGCTATCTCTGCTGCCTCTGCTGTCTCCCCTGCCTCCTCATTTTGAACTGGTATTGCTGCAGCTGCTGCTGCCGTGCTCTGCTGCTCCACGCATACCAGTGGCAGCTCCAGCTCACTGCATGACGTGCCCTTGGCTTCACCAAGTAGGCACTGTTCAGTGCTGCCAGGAGGGGTGGCGGCCACATGGGTAAGTGCATGGGCGTGCTCAGCAATGCGTGGCAAGAAGCAGGTTCTCTCAGGTGCCTTATCACCTGTGGTGATGGTGTTGGTGCTGGTGCTGGTGTTGGTGTGTGTGATGTGCATGGAAGAATAATCACATGGGGAGAGCGAGAAGGAAACCACCTCGCAAGGCACCTCGGCTTCACTTGCCAGAGACACCACCTGCTGGGCCTGCATGCCTGCCGATGCTTCCGGCCCCTCCACTGTGACTGTAACCATGGAGACTGTAACAGACACTAGGGTTGGCGAGACAGCGCTAGCAGCAGCAGCAGCAGCTGCAGAAAGAGCAGGGGGTGTGCCTGCGTGATACCCATCCAAGCACTGCCCTTGAATCACTTTACGCTGCTCTGGCTTCGTTGGTGGGCCACAGGCACCACCACCACCACCACCACCACCACCACCACCAGTGCCCTGTTGACCCCTGACGCTCACACCAGGCAGGGCAGTAGGCAGGGCAGAGTCGTGCAGTGGGCGGGGGCGAGTGCGGGCGCATGACCCTCCGTCATGACTCGAATCAGACATACTGGTGGGAGACGCATTAGCTTCCATGCCGTCACTAGTCTGCACGCTACTGCTGTTGCCAGTGCCAGTAACAGTGCCAGTGCCAGTGCCGGCGCCGGTGCCGGTGCGGTCACAGCTGGTTGCGAGAGCCAGCAAGTGCAGTGACTGCAGCACGTCCTCCTCTTCCTCCTCCACATCACCCAACTGCTCTTGCTTCTGGTGCTGCTGCTGCCCGCAACCATCCTCCCGCTCCCCGCCGCATGCCTGCTGGTTCGGCCGCTTCCCCACGTCCACTTGCTCCCTCACCGATTCCCCCCCATCCGCACCCTCCTTCCCCTTACCCTCACTCGGCCCTGTTCTAACCCCCGCCGCCACTGTCCCTTGCCCCTTCCCTTTCCTTTGACTCGGGAGGAAGGGCCTGGTGCGGGCAGCAGACCCCTTAGAAGTCCCATCAACAGATCGCTCGGGAGACCCCTCGGCAGCAGGCCCATCCGCAGCAGAACTCTCAACAGCAGACCCCTCGGCAGATCTGTGCTCTTGCTGCAACCCCAGCTCCGATTCTGCACGCACATGGAAGGAACTCATGGGGGTTACTACTGGCACATCCGGTGCACTGCTGCCCTTTTGACGCTCAGGCTCAATCGCCCCTCCTTCCCCTCCTCCTCCTGCTGCTGCTCCTCCTGCTGCTGCTCCTCCTGCTGCTGCTCCTCCTGCTGCTGCTCCTCCTGCTGCTGCTGCAGCTCGCACGAAATCCTTCAGGCTCTGCAGCGAGTTCGTTTCCTCTTGTCCGTTTCCTCTGCTCCCCTCCACCACCACTTGCATTCTCAACTCTCCCTCTCCCTCTCCCTCTCCCTCCCCCTCTCCCTCTCCCTCTCCCTCTCCCACATCCCCATCCCCATCCCCATTGAGCTCCCTAACAGTGTGCCCACTTGACCTGCCCTTCTGCCGGCCCCACGCCATGAGCACATGGGTGCGCGCACTCCACATGCCATCACTCCCACCTGCACTCACGCCTCCACTCCCACCTCGCCTCGCCACACAACCCGCTACTCCTGGTGCTCCTGCTGCGCAAGCTACTTCCTCATTTCTGAAGCCCGTCCCAGCCGCTCCTACAGCCTCTTCTCCAGCCTCCCCTGCAGCGCAGACTGGCCTCCCAGGCTCAGACTCAGGGAAGAACCCCACTCGCACCTGCACTCTGCAGTCCCTAGCCTTGCCCTCCCACACTCGCATTCTCGACCCCACCACCTCGCCTTCGCCACCTCTCACGCTCCCCGCCCTCTCCCCTCCATGCACCACCAGCGCTGCACTCCCCTCCTTGCTGCACGCCCCAGCCTGTTCCGCCCGGTCGCTCCTCCTCTCGCTAGCCTCGACCAGACTTGCATCACCCAGGCCGCAGGGCTGACTGTCCCGAGTTGAAGGATCATGTGCAGGAATCTGCCCATGCCCCGGTGCTGCTGCCGCTGCTGCCACTTCATGCGCTAACCCCTTTGCTGCTGCGTCAAGTGCTGCATGTGCCAGTTGACTCCCCTGCCCCTGCCCCTGCATGGCGTCACTGGCAGGCGCGGTGCCATCAGCGTCCCACAGAGCCACCTCAACAGCGGCACTCAGAGCAAACAGCCCGTCCAAACCAGCACCCACATCCATTCCACAAGCAGCATTCACTCCAGAGGGCCCGGCCAGACCAGCAGCCCCATTCGAGCAGCACAGCTCCATCCCCTCTGCCTGAGCCCGCTCCTCCCACCCAGCGCACACCAGCGCTTTCTCCACCGGCCGGCTCCTGCGCGCCGTCCTCTGTGCACCTTGCCTTTTCTCACACGGCAGGGCGCGAGCACACGAACCCACGTCCCTTCCTCCCTCCCCCTCACCTCCCTCACCATCCCCACCGTGGACACCGCCACACTCGCTACCATCACTCCCCATGCCTCTCCTGCCAGCACACTCCGTCCCAGTCGCGTCGTCCGCACCAGCCTCATGCGGCTCGGTGCCTCCCTGCCTCCCAGGGCCATCCATTGCCATGTCTATACTCCCACTCTCCCACGGCCCGCCCAGAATCCCTTCCACATCCACCCCTCCCCCCTGCACACTCAGAACTGTGCATTCTGCCCCTGCCCCCCAAAGCTGCTGCTCCTGCTGCTTCTCCTGCTGCTGCTGCTGCTGCTGCTGCTGCTGCTCCTCCTGTCGCACGCTGCTGCAGTCTTCCAGAGCGAATTCCAGCACCACCTGCACCTGCACCGATTGACCCCCCTCGCCCATCTCCCCCCCATCGCACCCCACCACGCCAACTATCCCCACGTCTACGTCCACGCTCCCGCGACCATCCCCACAGCAGAACCGCTGAACGGTACCCTCCCTCTCCTCCTCCACTCCCTCTGCGTCCCTTTCACAGGCGTGGGCATTAAAGCCCAAGGCAGCAGCAGAGACATCGGAGTCGGGCATTCTCTGCCACATGTCATGAGCCAGTGACTGCTGACGCATCTTCGCCATCACGAGCTCTTGAGCGGACTGCTGAGGCTCAAGGGCGCGATGAGGTTGCAGGGACTGCAGGGACTGCAGGGACTGGGGAAGAGACTGGAGAGGCTGAAGAGGCTGGAAAGGCTGGAGAGCGAGTTGGCCTTCTTCTCTGCATGCCTCCACGTCTTGCCCTTCGCCCTGCTCGCCGCCTAGCCCGCTTTCGCCCCTCTCTTCCCGTTCTTCTGCTGCGTCTGCGTCTGCGTCTGCGTCTGCGTCTGCGTCTGCGTCTGCGTCTGCAGCACCAGTGGCCACAGCAACTGAGGGTTGAACCAGTGCCTCGGCACCGGACAACACTCTGACATCGGAGAACGCCTCTGGCAGTAAATCACCATCTCCCTCACGCTGCAAGTCCTGCACTCCTCCACCCACATCTGCATCATAGCATTCATGGCATTCAAAAGGCTGTGGCTTGATAAATGCTTCTGGACTTAGGAGGGCCGCCTCCTCCACCTTGAGGCCTGCTGCTCGACTGGCGGTTTTTTCCTGAATCGCGGCTGCTTCCGAACTGGCGGCATGCCAGTCTGGCGCGCTAAAACTTCCTAAAACCCTTGCTGTTGGAAGCGACCCTCCCCTCTGCGCATGCTCCAGCAACACCTCACAATGCTGCTGCTCCAAGCCCGAGCCAGAATGCTCCTTTCCTGCCACGCCATACCGTGTGACCACTCCTGTCTCCTCCTCTCCTGACTCCACACCCTCTTCTTTCACAAGCGCACCCTCTTTCCCCAAAACCCAGAACCCTCGGCAGTCCCCTCCCCCATCCCTGCACTCCCCCGCCTCCACCTTGACATCTACGAAACCCATCCTCTCCTGCTCTTCCCGTCCCACCCTAGCCCTCTTCGCACCATCAGAACCCATCCGTTCACCTTGCGACAGCCAAGCTAGCACCTGCCTCCCCCTCAGCTGCCCTGACACCGGGTGCACTCGCGCCCTCGCACATCCCCTCCCCACACTCTTCCCCGCCACTCTCCCCTCCGCGCCCGTTCCATTCCACGCATCTCCGCCCCTCCTCCGCCCTTTCCCCCTCCTCGTTCTCCTCTTCTGAGGCAGCAGCACCAGCCTCTCGCTCCTGCCGGCCTTCCTCCCACCGCCTCCCCCCACCCACACCATCACACGCCTCCTCCTCTCCCCCTCCTCCCCCCCCCTCCCCCTCTTCCCATCGTCATCCCACAGCCAGGATCCGCGCCTGCCCCGTGCCACCCCGCCCTTTCCCGACCCCACATCGTCACTCTCCCCCCCCTCCTCGGATTCCCCCTTACTCCGTCCCGAGTCACAGGCAGTATCGCTGGGAGACGACTGCAGGCACGCTTGGGGGTCCACGTCTAGCAGACGGACGCCTTCCAGGTCCACCGGGGGCTCTGGCTCCGCCAAGCGGTGGGAGAGCAGGAGCGCTGACAGGTGCTGGCAGGGCGCAGGGCATGTGATAGACAGCTGCATGGGAGGCCGCGGAGGGGCGTCACGGCCTGGAAGGCTTTCTGGCACTATGATAGCAGAGCCAGGAGCTGCAGCAGCAGCAGCAGCAGCAGCGGCGGCAGCAGCGGCAGCAGTGGCAGCAGCCGCAGCAGCAGCAACAGGAGCTGGAGCAGGAGGAGGAGACGCAGTGACAGCACACGCTGTGGCATCGGTTAGAGGAACGGGGGTGTCGAATTGCAGGAGGGAGAGGTCAGCAGGTGCTGTGATGCGGAAGAGCCCCACGTCCGACTCGAAAATCTGCCACAGGGACAGGGCGTGTGCCTGTGGCGATCGCAAGAAATGAAAAACAACGAGAGGGACGGAAGGAAGGAAAGGTGGAGAGAAGCAAAAGATGACGGGGGTTTCGGGGTTTTACTTGTTCTTGCAGATGCCATCATCAGGGGCAGACAGAAGGGTTTAAGTTTTATATTGTGAGATGCAGTTTGCTGTCTTGGTGGGAGTACACACATTGTGGTTTTAGTTTCACTCACCCCAATAAACGCGCCGACTTTAGTGAAACGGTAAGTGGCTGCGGTGGGTGGGTGGTTGGGTGGGTGGGTGGTGGATGGCCTACCCGGAGGCAGCAGTCAGAGGGGAGGCAGCGAGCAGCGTTGGCGAACACAGCGCGAACGTCATCCACGAACGACAAGGGGTCCGCGTAGAAGCCAGAGCTGAGCCGCGCCTGCACGCGGAGGAATGCAGAGGGAGGATGGCGATGATGGCGGGTGAGACGGACGGAGGATGCAGTGGGGTTACACACAGGGAAAGACGCGGGGCTCAACGGGAGGAAACAGTGAGAGGGGGCGGGAGAGAGGGGAGGCGGGCAGAAGGGGAGGCGAGAGGGAGGGTGAGAGACAACGGGGAGAGAGGACGAGGGGGGAAAAGAGGGGAGATAGAGAGAAAAGCGGGGGAAGGGGGAACGGGGGGGGATAGGGGGGAGGGGAGGGGAGAAGAAGGAGAGGGGGGAGGGAGGAGGGGAGACCTGTATAACGGAGAGATCTGTTGGACGGTCGACCGTTGCTGCATAGCAGCGTCGGGCGTCCTCCGGCCACAGATCCGACAACGCCACTGGCGAGCTGAAGAACGCGCCGATGCTGGTGAAGGAACAGAAATGCAGAGGGGGAGGGGGGGGGAAGAAGGAAACGACTGAGGCACCATCGGTACCCAAACAGGACTGAGGCATCAGGAAGGAGTGAGGGCAACGCAAGCGAGCAGGAGATGATAAGGGCGGCATGAGAGTGCGACGCCCCTTGCTCTATGCCATTCCCATCTGACCTAATCTAGCAGCCCGCGCCCCTGTGGTCCAGCCCCCGCGCCACGGACCTGTGGTTTCTAAGGCGCAGCAGCAGGATGGCGCATCGCTGCAGGTCGTTCACCTCCGCGTCATCGTCAACAGCAGCAGCAGCAGCAGCAGCAGCCGCGTCCTCCTCTCTCCGACCGGCCCCGCCCGCATGCTTCCCGTGCCGCTGCCGCTGGTCCTTGCCGTGCTGCTGCTGCTGCTGCCGCCGCCGCCTCTTCGCGCATGATATGAGCGAGATGTCCTGCTAACCAGTGCGAGAGCGCGAGGAGGGTTGGTGGGTTGGGAAGAGGAGATCCGCGGAGTAAGCGCTAGGAGACAGAGTAGCTGCGCGCAGTAAGCGAAGTGAGCGCTAGGCCTTAAGGCTAACCTGAATAGTAACCCACATCCTGGAGCCGTGAACCCGACAGACCCTTACCCATTAGAACAGACCAAGCCTTTACCGCCTCCCACCCTCAAGCACTTCCCCTCTTCTTGTCTCAAACCCCTCCCCCCTCCCCGTTTACCCCACCTCTCCATGGGCTACAACCGCACCCCTTCCTTCCAGCGCTAATAAACCCTGACGAGTACAGTTTCACCACACACTCATTAAACCCGCGAAAATCCCTCAAAACCCTCACCAGTGTAGCAAAGGACAAACCCTCTGACGCAAACCCCTCATCGTATGAAGATGGCCTACCTGCTCGATCTCTTCGAGCTGGAGCGTAACCTGGCAGAACGGCCGCTTGTACCCCCATCGCTTCTCCTTGCCCCTCCCCACTGCTGCTGCTGCAGGGCCCCCAGCCAGCTCCTCCGTCACTGCCACGTCAGCCACTTCCACGGTGGCGGGACCAGCGGTAAGCGCGGGCCATTGGATGGCGCGAGCGCACTGCCCTGGCACCTGAGACGAGACCTCCGAAGGGATAATCGCGCTGCTAGTAACGGCTACAGCGAAAGCCTGCGACGCTCCTTGCGCGGGTAACGCGGGCCTAACCGCAGCCGATGCTGCGGCTGGTGCTATCACCGACACGGGTACGCTACAAGCAGTCGCGGTGTACGCAAAGGATGAGACGCAGCCTTCTTCCAGCACTGCCTGGAGTCCGGTCCTTGCTCTCCTACGGCTGTACCTGCACGTCAAACATACCAGGTGTGTAAAACCCTCAGCCTCAGCCATGCATGGCAGAAAAAGGAAAGAAAGAAAGAAGAAGAAGAAACAAACACGAGCCAAATACACACTTACACGTATTGAGGGAGGACGTCGACGGCCGAAGATGGACCTATCTCGGAAATTCCGGGGTCATTCTGCTCACAAGCACTATCACCCGCACCCTCGGTCAAGGGACTGATTGGCTTAACCCCCAGGGCTTCCCCTGGCTCAACTCGCTCTGCAGCCACCTCCGGCTGCACTACACCCTGAACCTCACTCTCTCCAACAGCAGTCGACCTGGAAGGAGGCTGAACCTGGAGAATGATACTGTTTCGTCCCCGTTCAGACGAAACCTCGGCAGGATCAATGGCAAAGTCGTCAATGTCGTCAGCACCGCTGCTGTCGGTTTCTGTGCGAACGCTCTCGCTGTCCCCGCTGCTAAGGCTCTCGCCGTCGGAAGTATGCCCCGAGCCGGTCCCGAAATCGACGGCCAGAAGCTCCCAGGGCTCACTGCAGTATAAAGGGGACGTTGAAAGGAAGGTTGGGGAAGGTGTCGGAAGGTCAGGGGTCACTAGAGACTGGAACACGACATGCTCCTTAAAGCCATTAGATACGGGACACGAACTCTTGCTATTGAGTAAAAACTGCAAACATTAAGCTCCAACCAGTGCGCCTGCTCAGGCGTGAGATTTCTGACCCTAGCGATAAGGTTCTGAGAGATTACGAACCGGCTCCGGGATTTCCGGAACTGGCATATGACTCAAACCTGCCAATATGCTCTAACCGTTGCTAACGAGGTGTAGAGTAAAGGAGGGTTTTCAATGCGATGCTTCGCGTACCACATGCAATCTGAGGCCCATATCGTGGCCGGTGGTGGAGCAGGCGTCGCCAGGCTGGCATGAAGAGCCATAGCTTAGGTATGGACGAAAACAAGTCAACGCGAATATGGAACACGGACTAAAATAACCAGTTTGTAGTAGAGCGTAAGCCCATTCGTCGTAACGAGCACTAAGATAATGAGCTCAGTACCGCAGTGGTCGGCCACAATGTCATTCTACATCCTGACCAAATCTCGAGAAACGCATGTCAAGGAAAAGAACGGCTGGTCTCCAACTTGGATGTGCTGCTGCTGGTGCTGTTGCTGCTCCGGTCTGGTGGTGCTGTTGCTGCTTCAAATCAAACCCTACAACCAACCGGCTCACATGGCGGAAAACATTACTAGGTCGGAACCGAACCAGGAGGTTTGGAAATCTGGTCAGGACGCGGTACAAGCTGTCCGATTGGCCCGAAACAAGCCCGAATGTAAAAGGGGCTGTAGCTCGGTTTGGTGAGATACTACATGCTACACCGTGGTTACGCTTCTGCTAGACGGATAGCATGAACCCGCCCCTGGGGGACAGTCTAGAAACGACAGCAGCCCCTGCATGGTTGAAAGGGAGAGCAGACGACGGGCAACCAAGCCAAACTTTTGCAACCGTCTGCTGGTGTGGGGGAAGAGGACGATGTAGCACCCTGATTTGACGGGGACGTAGAGACCTGAATGCAGCTCCACCTCAAGTCCAGCATCCATCCATAAAACGTTTCCTTAGCGAAGAGCCAGTGTGAGGGAAAACACCGCAAAGGGAGCACCATTAGCGCAGAATATTCGTCCCATTTTGCCTCGTGGCAATGGAAACAACAGGAAATACACCAGCAACCACGCCTCTCAGATCCGTGGCCTCACACTGCTTCACTTGAGTCCTGAGTCCTGACTAGCCATGCATGTCAGCGATTGTGTGGACGTCACCTGCAGACTTGTGACAGCTTTCCTGAGATTTGGTTGGCGAAATGGATCCTCATCCACACTACGTGGAGATTGAACATCTGATTGGCTGTTCAGAGGGGATAGCTCAACCTAGATGGCGAGTTACCGAACAATCATCATCTCCACATGGGTTTTTGGTACACCCACCACCAACAACCAGGAAACGGCAGAAGTCAACGAGGTGAAATTATTCAGAGGGACACGTCAGACGACATCATCCACACACCCCAATGCGACCACGTGCTTTGTACACAATCGCGCATTGCCCAATCCCTGCACTTGAGGATCCACCTTTCCTTATCTGGCAACTTCGACGAGGTTACGAAGAGTCAAGAAATTGATATCATGGATATCACATATAAGTAATCAACTCTTAATTTCTATGTGAAGAAAAGTGTGTATTGTGAGTTGTGGTGCTTCACCAGTCATCGCACAACACGAGGGCGAAGAGGCACAGCACGAGTCCATGTGATACTGACTGTCCCTAATCCATGGAAAATGTGGGAAGGTCCATACTACAATTTGTAAGAGCATTTCATCTTCCTTCTAGCCAACCTAGCATTCAATCATCCTTCACCTTGGTCCAGCAACCTTCAGCCTCCAGTAAACGGCCATCATACATGCCATGCATTATGCACACCACACCATGCCACTCCCTCATCCCGCGTGACGACACGCAAGGCAACACCACAGCACGATGCCACGGCTCGAGCCACACCACTCCAGACCATGAAACACCACATCACACCACACCACACTACACCACACCACACCACACCATGGTCCTTACACCAACCTTACTACTCCCTAACTTTCCCCTCCACCATCCAGCAGGCTGCCCCATGCCCCGGCAGCCCTTTCCACGCCTTACATCCCCAACTCTATCAGACATCCCACTGAACCATGAAGATTGAAAAGAGACAAGTACAAGCACTCACCTGGCACCCCTGTGCTGATGCCGTGCCTCAGTTGACAAGCATGAGCGCCAAGCAGGAACCCAGAGAGTAAGCAACTCGATGCGTGCATGCAGGTGAGCAAGCAGAGCAGCCTGAACTGCCGCTTCAACCCCCAACAAGTCACTTGGCTTTCCCCACGTTGCCGTGTGTCCCAGTTGACAGCGATGAGCCCCAGCCCCAACCAGGCATCTAGCAGAGTAAAACGACTCCCCCCCTGCCTTCGCACTTCACTCAGCTTACTCCCAACTGGGGATTTCAGCCCCATCTCTTAGCCCCTCATTCAACTAACCCTGAGGTGGGGGCTTCAACTCCATTCCTACACCCTACTCTGGGCGGTGGGGATTTCAGCCCCATCCCTTCGCCCTTCACTCAACTTTACGAGGAACTTTCAGCCCCCTCCCTCCGCCCCTCACTCAACCTACCCTGAGGGTTTCAACCTTCAATCGACTTCCTCTGGGGGTTTCAGCCCTCTCCCTGGGATTTGAACCCCCCTACATTGCCTCACCTTGTCACTTGGGGTCTGAAGCATCAACCCTTGCCTAACCCTGTAATTTGGGGTCTGAGATCTCAAACCTTGCCTCACCCTGTAACTTGGGTTCTAAAAACCCTTCCCTAGCCTTGGTTAGGATTGAACAAACGAACCCACATGATAGCACTTGTTGCGCCACGCAACAAGTGAGGCATCACCGTTTGCCGTGCTGACCTCCCATGGTCCTCATACCTACCACTCGCCAGCACAAAACCCACCTTGCATCACCCCTACCCAGCACCACAGTAAAAAACAACCCCCCACACCTGCCTCACTGCTGTAGCCGGGGGCTGTCCCCCCCACACCTGCCTCACTGCTGTAGCCGGGGGCTGTCCCCCCCTCACCTGCCTCACTGCTGTAGCCGGGGGCTGTCCCCCCCTCACCTGCCTCACCCCTATGTTTGAATTTCTGAACCTCCCTTTCCCAGACTCACCTCTTCAAATGCGGCCTGAACACCCCTCACCTGTAGGTGGGGCCTGAAACCCCCACAATCAGTCGCACCTTTGGGGTTTGAATACCCGTCACCTGGCTCACTTCTATGGTTGGACTCTGACTGACACCTTCTCGCCTCTATACTCGGAGTCAAAACCCTCCTCACCCCCCTCACCTCTACCCCGTGGAGCTCCTCTTGGGCGTCTGAACCCCCTTCTCAATTCCACTCACGCAGCTTAGGGAATTCAGCCGTCGTTAGAGAGATTATTCCCCCCTAAGGGTTTAAACCCTGAAGGGTTTTAGCCCCTCACACATCCACTCACGGAGCTTCAGCCCCTTCCTCCTTCACTCGCCCACCTCAGCGCTTCATCCCCTTTCACTTCCGCCTTTCTCAACTCACAGGGTCTTATCGCCCCCTAAAAACTCTCCATCTCTCAGAAAATTTACGCTGGTGGTTGCAGCCCCCATCCTTCGCCCCTCATTCAGCCTTCCTGGGACATTTCAGCCCCCTTTCCTCTTCCCCTCCTCACTCAACTTACAATGGGGGATTTCAGCCCCCTTTCCCCTCTCCCCCCCTCACTCAACTTACAGTGGTGGTTGCAGCCCCCCTCCCCTGCCCCTCCATTGACTTGCAACAGTAATTTCGGCCCACTCCTTCTCCATTTGTCCTGCACTCAACTTACCCTCGGGAGGTTCACTCCTCCCCATTTGCACTCAACTTACCCTGGGGGGTTCAGGCCCTTTTCTCCCACTCACTCAGCTTACAGTGGAAGTTGCAAACGCCTCCATTGCCCCTCACTCCCTGTTAGCCAAGGGGATTCAGGCCCCCTCACTCGGATTTCATCCCCTCGCTATGCCCCTCATTCAACTTACCCCAAGCACCCCTAAATCTTGGCCCCTAACTTGGGGTCTGAAACCCCCTCCCTTGCCTCACCTTGTAACTTGGGGTCTGAAACCCCCTTCCTTGCCTCACCTTGCCTTACTCTCAACCCCCCTCCCCTGCCTTGCTCTCACCCCACCATGGGAATTTCACCACCCATCCTTTGCCCCTCACACTACGCAGGGGGTTTCAGCCCCCCTTCCCCTCTCTCCCTCTCGCTCAACTGACAGAGGTGGTTGCAGACGCCTCCATTGCCCATCACCCATCGTACCTGGGTGGTTTCAGACCCCCTTGTCCCCTCCCTCACTCAACTTACCCTGAGGGGTACCAGCCCCCCTTCCCCTCTCTCCCTCTCACTCAACTTACAGTGGTGATCGCAGTCGCCTCCATTGCCCATCACCCAACTTACCGACTTGTCCTGAGGGGATTCAGCCCCCTGCTATGCCCCTCACTCAACTTACCCCGGGGTTTTATCCTCTCCTTCACACTCAACCTACCCTGGGGGGTTTCAGCCCCCCCTCTCCTCCCCTTCACTCAACTTACAGTAATGGTTGCAGACGCCCTCCTTTCTCCCAAACTCAGCTTGTCCAGGGGGGTTCAGCCCCCCTCCCCTGCCCCACGCTCAACTTACCCAAGAGGGATTCAGGCCCCCTTTCTACTCCCTCTCACTCAACTTACACAGGTGGTAGATGCAGCCGCCCTCCATTGCCCCTCACTTGACTCACCGGGGGGGTTCCAGGGCCCCTTTAAACCACCACCACCACCCCGGTCCGGTCCCCCGTCCCCTCCCCCTTCCCTGCTCCCCCACCTTCACCCTCCCAGCACTAGGAGCAGCACGCAACCCACCCGCGTTCGGAAACAGCACCCCCCACGGCTGTGCCTTGTGGTGCGAGGTATGGCAGTGGAAAATGCACGGGCGGCCCAAGACTCAAATCCCGTGACGAAAGCGTCGTGGGAGGGGACTCCCAACCAGAGCCGGCGCACACGGCTCTGACCGGTTCCATTATACGATACGCCAGTGTTGGTACTTGAGGAACGACTGCCGTGCCACACACTTTCCACTGACCACACTCGACCCACAAGGCAGGAACCACAGAGGGTGCTGCCCCTAAGGGAGTGGGCTGCATGCTTGCTCCTATGCCTCCATAGGAGGACTGCACCTTCCATTCCTCAAGGCGAGATGCTGCTGGGGGGAGGGGCAAGGGAGAGGAGAGGAGGTGAGAGAGATGGGAGGCTCAATTCTCCTGTCCTTGCTCCAAGGAAGGGGGAAGGGGAGGTGAGGGTGGGGACTGCACCATCCTCGAGGCAAGATGCTGCTGGAGGAAGGGGAGGTGAGGGGGGGAGGAGAGGAGGTGAGAGAGGGTGGGTTCCATCCTCCTGCCGTGCTCCAATCTCCTGCCCTTGCTCCAAGGCTTCAGACTCGTATGCTGTAGGAAGGAAGAAGGGGGGTGAGACAACCATACCTGAAACCGTACCTGGTACCATACCTCGCTCACCCCTAGTCCTAGCCTCGAGGATGGTGCTGGTGCTGGTGCTGGTGCTGGTGCTGGTGCTGGTGCTGGTGCTGCCGCTGGTGCTGCCGCTGGTGCTGCCGCTGGTGCTGCCGCTGGTGCTGCCGCTGGTGCTGCCGCTGGTGCTGCCGCTGGTGCTGCCGCTGGTGCTGCCGCTGGTGCTGCCGCTGGTGCTGCCGCTGCCGCTGCCGCTGCCGCTGCCGCTGCCGCTGCCGCTGCCGCTGCCGCTGCCGCTGCCGCTGCCGCTGCCGCTGCCGCTGCCGCTGCCGCTGCTGTTGCCGCTGCTGTTGCTGCTGCTGCTGCTGCTGCTGCTGCTGCTGCTGCTGCTGCTGCTGCTGCTGCTGCTGCTGTCAGCTGCTCAGCTTCCTCTGCTGCGGTCTTCAAAGGATGCCAAGTGACCTGGTGGGGCCAAAAGGGGGCGGCAGACAGAAAACAAGTTAGCACGATCTCTGCAGCCAGCCACGGCACTGGGAGAAGCAAACCAAGAAGCCAAAGCATGGAAGAATGGAAGGACAGACACCGTCTGCAGCACCATGCGTGAGGAGTCTATTTTCAAGGCGCCTCAAAAATAGACTCCTCACCAGGAGAAGCAAAAAGCCAAAGCATGAAAGAATGAAAGAATGAAAGCATGGAAGCATGAAAGCATGGAAGCATGGAAGCATGAAAGCATGAAAGCATGAAAGCATGAAAGCATGGAAGCATGGAAGCATGGAAGCATGAAAGCATGAAAGCATGAAAGCATGAAAGCATGAAAGCATGAAAGCATGGAAGCATGAAAGCATGAAAGCATGAAAGCATGGAAGCATGAAAGAATGGAAGGACAGACACCGTCTGCAGCACCAGGAGGGGTTGGTGAAAGGAGGCTTACATTCAGTGGCCAACCCCACCCCAGATACTCTCCCTCATGCTTCGCTCTTCCTCCCAGCAAACCTTCCCGTGTGCATGCACCTGCACAGCCACAGGAGAAGGGTGCAGGGGAGTGGCGGTGTTGACCCCCACGCCCCTCCCCTCAACCTGCAAGAAGAAAACTGTAGAGCAGTGAGCAAGCGGCTAGGGGTGGAAGTGTGAGAGGTGTGCATGGGTGGGGTGGCTGGTGTGACAGCAGCAGCGGGACCACTGGAGCAGCACTAGGCTCATGGTGCAGACCCAAGGGTAATAGGAAGGAGGATATCTAAACAAATTAGTATAGGGGTAGGGGATACCTGGAATAAAGAGGGAGGGGGGGGGAGGGGGGTTGGTCTGGACCACGTGACCTAGGCAGCTGCAAGTGGTTTAGCAGCATGGATGGACTGATGAGGTGGAATGATAGAATGATGGAATGATGAGGTGGAATGATGGAATGAGGAGTGTGCGCGCATGTCAGTAAGAGTGGTGCACAAAGGCCAAGAAAGCAGTCAATAGCACATCAGAGAGCGTGTGAGTGTACTTATCTGCTGTGGCTACTTGTGTGCTCCCAGCTGGTAGCCCCAGCCCACTCTGCCTCCCCCCACTAAAGCGCTTCACAGCACCCACTTCACGCCCCTCCCCTCCCCCTGCAGTCACAGCAGCCACTGCACAGGCGCTTGTAGAAGAGGCCCTGCTGGGGGACCGGGGGGGAGGGGGAGGGGGAGGGGGAAGGGGAGGGGGAAGGGGGGGGACAAGGGGAGGGGGGGAGGGGGAGGGGGAGGGGGAAGGGGAGGGGGAAGGGGGGGGACAAGGGGAGGGGGGAGGGGAGGGGACAAGAGGAGAGGTAGTTAAGTGGTGAGGTAGGTGGGAGTTGAGAAGCGCAGAGAGCAATGCAATGCAGAGAGGACAGGACGGAGGGAGGGAGGGCGCCACTGGTAGAGCCTCAACTACAAGCCACAGACCCAAGGAGGGGCTGGCTTGACCTGGGGGTTGTACCTGCAATTAGGGGGGAGAGGGGGCTGGGGGGGCGGGGGAGGGGAGGCAAGTGCAAATGGCATTACAGTAGTGCAGATGGCAATAGCAAAGGGCAAATGGCAATACAGAAGGCGAGGCTCAGGCTATTCGGGGCAGGTTCCTTAGCTGCAAGCTGAAAGCAGCGCTGAGAGTGGTTGTCCCCCATCGCTTCCCCTCCCCTCCCCTTCCTTCCCCTGCCCTGCTGCTCCGTGGCGGCAGCAGAAGCTCCCTGCTGGTTCCCCCTCCAGCAGCTACGCCACAGGCGCTTACAGGTCCGCCCCCTGGGGGAGGGGAGGGAGGGGGGGTGGGCGAGAGGGGAGGGAGAGGGGGTGGGCGAGAGGGGAGGGGAGGGGAAGGGAGACAAGGAGGCAGTTAGGTCCAGGAGTGAGCGGAAGGTGCACAAAAAAGCCAGTAAGGATTGGAGGAAAGACAGTGAGGGGGCATCATCTGCAGCAGTAGGAGGGGGTGGTGAAAGGGGCTTACCATGAGAGGCCAACCCCAGATACCCCAGATACTCTCCCTCCCTCATGGCAGAACTCCTTCCAGCGCCCCCTGTGCATGCACCTCCACAGCCACAGGGGAGGTGCAGGGGAGTAGCGGTGTTGACCCCCACGCCCCTCCCCTCAACCTGGAAGGAGAAAACTGTAGAGCAGTGAGCAAGTGGCTAGGGTTGGAAGCGTGAGAGGTGTACATGGGTGGGGTGGTACACCAAGCCTAGGAAAGCGAGTGAAAGCAGCTAGTGGAGGGGGGGGTAGTCAAGTGGAGAGAGTGAGGCAGGTGGGAGTTCAGACGTGCAGAAACAGTGCAATGCAGAGTGGAGAGCACGGAGGGAGAGAGGGCGCCACTGGTAGAGCCTCAGCTACAAGCCACAGACCCAAGGGGGGGCTGGCTTGACCTGGGGGTTGTACCTGCAATACCTGAGGGGGGTACACCTGAGGGGGGTACACCTAAAATACCTGCAGTTAAAGGGGGGGTTGGTGGGGAGGGTCTGCGGCTTGCTCACTGCAGTGCTACCAGGGGCGCGATTTGGAGGGATGAAATGAAGCAAATGGCAGAAGCAGGAACGACAACAGGGGCGAGGCATGCTGTGACAGGCGCGGGTGGGTGCAGAGAGTGGAGTCGAGGCTACTTAGCTGGTTGCTTGCTCCAGGCCTTGGGGCAGCCGCCCCTGCTCCCCATTCGCCTGCTCCCCCTTCGCCTGCTTCTGCTCCGTCCTCCCCTTGCTGCTCCCTCTGCCACCGCCACGCCACAGGGCGCTGGCAGGAGGAGGGGAGGGGAGGGGAGGGGTAAACATAAGGAGGTGGTTAGGTCCAGGAGAGAGAGGCATGGCGGCATGCAAATGCAGAGAGGAGAAAGGGAGGAAGGGAGGAAGGGGAAGAAGGGAGGGCGCAACTGGCGGAGGCACAGCCACGAGGTGCAGACTCCCAAGGGGACCTGAGGGGGTGAACCTGCAGTAGGGGGGAAACCTGGGGGGGGATGTTAGGCTTTAGGGGGGCCTGAACCTAAGGGGCTTACCTGCAGTGAGGGGGTGGGGGGGGTGGGGGGGGGGGGGGTGGGAGGGGATTCTGTGGCTTGTGAGCCGGGCCCCAACCAGCGGCGAGATTTTGAGAGAGAGAGTGCAAAGCAAAGAAGCACATGATACCAGAAGCGAATGAATAGAACGAGCAACCAGCAGCACGCAAGGCCCAGGCCAGGGAGGAAGGGCTACTTAGCTGGAGGTTGGAAGTTGAACCACCGTGTTGAGAACAACTGTCTGCTTTCCCTCCCCCTCCCCTCCTCTCCCCTCCTCTCTCCCACTGCTCCCTGCAGCCAGAAGCCTTCAAGTGGGCTTGCTGCTGCTCTAGCCAGGATCCTACCCCCCTTGCTGGGAGGGTGGGGAGGGGAGGGTCAGGGGGGGGCGGGGAGGAAGGGGGAGAATAGTGCAACGAGGTACTTAGGTCCAGCATGGAGTGGAAAACAATTCGAGGGGTCGTGCGAAACAGTGTGCACGCTTCAGAAACGGGGGGAGGGGCCACTGGTGGAGGCACAGCCACACGCCGCAGATCCCAAGGGGACCTGAGGGGGCTGTGAGGCTGTTAAAGGGGCTGAACCCGAAGGGTCACCTGAGGGGGTCACCTGAGGGGGTTACCTGCAGTAGAGGGGGGGGTCTGTGGCTCGTGAGCCGGGTCCCAACAACCAGTGGCGAGTTTCCAAATGCGAGAGCAAAGCAAACGAGGGGTTCACAGGACAGGGCGAGGGACGAGGGGATGAGCAGCAGGAGGTGGAAGCAGCCAGCACGGATTGAGGGAGGATGGGAAGGACGCTCACCTTTGCTTGACTCCCACACCCGATACTCTCCCTTCCTTGCCGCATGCACTGCTGCTCCCTCCCACGCCCGGGTTTACTCCACACCCCTGGGGTGCTCACTCCCACGCCCACGCCCCTCCCCTCCCCACCACCACTGCTGCCACTACTTGCCGCCACCACAAGTGTTGCCAAAACTGCAGAGAAAAGGGGGGAGGGGGGGAGAGAGAGGGGGTGGGAGGACCCCGCTCTCCCTCCAGAGAAGCAGAGCGCAGCCGACAAGCGGCGCACACAGCAAGAAGCACGTGTTAGAGCCACCAGAAGCAAGGACTCAGACTCGAGCAGAAGGCCAAGGAGAAGGCGACTGGGGTGGGGACGCGCTTACCATGCGGCGAGACGACCTAGAGAGTGGCCTGCTCGCCCCCCCTCCGCCCTCTCGCATCGCGCTCACCTTGCCAACTGGATGGCGCTGATGGCGCTGCGACCCCACGGCGGGTTACCACTCGCCACTCGCCACGCGCATCCGCGACAAGAGCGAAACGGTTTCGAGTAAAGTCAGTAAACGCGCGGAACGAGCACCTGTCGAAACGCGCGCCAGGAATCGCGATATAAAAGAAACGAAAAGGATAATTGCAGGCGGAGCGAGCAGTCTTGCATTATATCGAGGCGAGTCAGGGGTACTAGCGAGAGCTGGACGATTCTTGAATAGACGCCTTTTCCGCCGCCGTCGCGCAGGAGAATCGACGGTCGCACACGCCACGTGGCCGCGTAGGCGAATGGAACAGCGCCGAATTCAAGGAGTGACAGAGCAACTGTCAGGGAACTGCGAAACACCTTGGTCAACCGAACATTGGGACACGCCATTAGTTTGGGCGTGTCAATAAAGTACGTGTCCAGTTCATTAACGAGTTCAGTTACCACTTTGAGGTTTAGACCAGAAAACACGCCCGAATTGGACGCGCCCGGCTCACATCCGAAATTAGCGGACACCAGGGCCCGTTTTCAGATACCTCCGTACGACAAAAAAAGCAGCACAAAAATCCAGTTCACCAATCAATACCAGCACCACCTCTAGCAAAATTCTCGCGCGAAAAATCGCAGACTCGTACGTCGCTAGCGAACAACCTACTCCCGCTGCGCCGATTGGCCCTCTTTCTGTTACACACGCTTGTCGCGCTGGTTTCGCATGGCGGGATCCCGTTACCCGCCTCTATGTCTGTGCTGGTCGTGGTACTGTCCTTCCGAACTGCTCCCTTCATTTCGGACCAGTTCCCAAAGCGGGACCAGTTTCGAAATTGATTCCCATTGCGTACCGTCAAACGGCTCCGCGTGTCAAAACTAGGTGCGATTTTTAGGGACACGCATTAGGGTCGCAACCATAAGTTGGACCCCGGGTATGGTACAATTCGAGTGCTTGACGAGAAATCATTGATTGACGAAGCATGCAGCAACGACAGTCGTGGGTTTGAGGGAAAGAGAAATACCCCTTGACGACCATTACGAGCTTGATGACGAAAAGTAACCAGCAGCCTCAAGAGCCCTTGTCGTCGCAAGGAGAATTCTTTCGCGTCATCGAGTCGCCGAGCCCTCTTCGCGCGCGTCGTCGTCGCACGTCCACCCGTGTGTGCGATTCAACCAGACCCTGCGCTAGGGTCATCGTGTTGTCGCGTCTCCCAGCCTGCCTCGTGCGTGTCTGAACCAGCCCGCGCTGGCTGTCTGAGGGCTGTTAGAATGAGATTGCCAGGGCATGAGATAAGTAAGGACGAGCATAGGACGGCGTGTTATTAGAAGTCTTTCAAAAACAGCGGAGCGGAATAAGCACCGCAGGCTTGTGGAGAGAGCGTAGGACGAACCTTGTCCGCCATCGGCGGCGGCTGGCGACGTCATCGCGCGTTCGACGCTTCCGATTCATCAGCGCGCGTCACCAGCCAGCTTCCGCCGCGCGTACGGTTTCGATCGCACGCGCCGTCAGGTCGCACGGACTCCGTTGAAGGTGGTCGTCCGCGCCGTCGACGGAAACCGTCAGCTTGAAGCGAGCCTTCCACGAAGTCGATTTGACGATTTCGCCGCGAGGAACGCTCGTCGCAGAACGCAAGAGAGAGAACGCAAGACGGGATAAGTGCGTCAGTCGAAGCAGGAATTAGGCTGACTCGACACAATACGCTGCGGACGCTCTATGCGGCGGACGCCTACTCGCCCCCCCTCTAGCAAAGACCCGCCACTTACCACACCCGCGAGCCGTGCGAATGGGCGCTGTCCTCAGCGCTGTCCGCGGTCGCCACTCCGCGGTCGCTGGCGACCTCCGCGACGGGTGTTGCGAGCAGCCGCTGGTACGATCGCACTGACGACCGCACTCCGCTCAAGCCTTGCCGCCCGCGATGATCGCCCGACCGCCGCGACGGGAGGCGGACGACCGCACCGCGAGCACTGCGACGACGAGGCGACTCTCGGAGAGCGACGCGGGCAAGAGCGTCGGTAGACTCGGGTTGACTCGTTGAACGGCGGATTCTCAGAGGGAGTGAGGGAAAGAGAGCAGAAGAAAGAGGGAGACGAGATGGTTAGTCGCAGCAGGGAAAGGGCCGACTCAAAGCAGAAACGGATTGCAGACGCTCTATGCGGCGGACGCCTACTCGCCCCCCCTCTTGCTTCCCCCGCCACTTACCATTTTGAATGATAACTGGTGGATCAGCGCCCGCGAGAGGCGTTGGCGAATCGGCGTTGTCGAGAGCGGACGGAAATCGCGTCGGCGAGAACGCGTTGACGAACGCGTTGGCGAATCGGCGATGTTGCGAGCGGGCGGATGACGGTCAAGGGGGTCCGGTTGTCGTCAGCGCGTCCAGTCGCGTTGATCGACGGGCCGTTCGAACTGACGGCTCAGTCAAGTTCATCGACGGGCTGTTCGAACTGACGGCTCAGTCGCGTTGTACGAGCTGCAGCGTCCAGAGAAGCCCGCGTTGCCGCTCACGTGAGCCTGCAAATCGGAAAGGAGGCGAAGGAAACGAAAAGAGAACCGGAAAGGAAGCTTAGCGAAGAGAAAACGGCTTAGAGCAAAGACTGGAGAACACAAAATCGACGATCATTACCTGGGGAGGCAGAATGGTCGCCGCGAAATGAAGGATTGACGCGAGATTGTCACCGCGCGTCAGGGTAGCAGCGAACGGCGGATGAAATCTTCAGCGATTCTGTTGCAGCAGCAGCAGCAGCAGATGGAGAAACTGGCGGAGAAGTGACAGAAGCGGCGCTGGAGAGCAGCAGATGCGCCGTGAAACCGTGAGAACTGAGGGGAAGACGCTAACAGAATGGGTAGTGAGCAGTGGGAAATGTGCGATAGCAGACACCCTGGTTCTCTCTAGCATTGCGTCACCAACTCCCCCATACGGAAGGCCATGGAGGCGAACGAGGCGAAAGTTGCTTGGAACTCCCAGCTCGGGAGTGACACGGCAGGGGACAGCGGTTGCCTGGGGCTTGGCTCTATGCCGCCAGGAGCCGCGGATTTGGAGGTATGGCGCGGCGACGGACAAAAGTTAGGAGGGAAAATGGGAGGCTGTAGAAAATAAGCGGCTGTGGCGAAAGGAGAGATTTTTGGACGATTCTGTTACTTTGCCAAGAAGTTCGTCTGTGTCTGGGTTTGACGAGAGCTGAACGAGACTCCGCAAAAGGTTTCGCTCAAGCCATTAGCCCAGCTTTTCATTTGCTAACCAGGTTCAACGCATCTCATCCTTGGGGGTTCTGACAATGTCAGTGGGTGTGAGGAGTTCCGTGCGGTTCCGTTAGGTGATGTTTGTTCGTCGAACCGCTTGACCCTCACAGCTCAACAGGGAACGTGACTGAAGCCGCCAACAGCCGGCGAGTCTCATTTTGTAAACATGTTTCGCTCGCTGCCCGAAGTAGCAGCAGGTGTTGTCAACCACCACCATTATATTTTTGGAATAAGAGAATGAAACCGAACAGACCCTTTTGGAGTACATGGCTATGTATGACTCTTCTTCTTATGTACCCATGTATCTTTTGCTATCATCTTTTCTCCCTTAATAGAGAATTCCCGATGTACTTCCACTTTGGCAATAGTGTTCCTCGATGCTGGCACCGTTGTCAGGTGTCTCGGGTCGCCCTCACTAAGACGGGGATATTTCTCTTCCTGCCACCCTGACTAACATCGGAATTCGGGAGTTAGCGGGGAGGGGAAGCCTAACCGACTTAGTGCTTCGGATATTCTCTAAGTTCGCTTCACAAGCCAGTCAGTCTGGAACTGCTATTATGGACCATGGAGCTAGATTGTCCTGCTCGTGTTGCTCCTTTCGAGGAGCGTAGAAATGAAAGGCGGATACTTCTCACGAATTGGCTCGCTTACTAGAATAAGTGCGCTTCTTGTGCGTCTTAGTGTCGCAACCTGACTCACATTGCGAATATGCGAGGTTCGATCTCCTGCTTCGAGCGTGAAGGTCTATTAGCGATACGTCGCGTACCATTTGCGCTGCGTTATCAGAGATCCAGCGACAGCTACTGGTAGTGACTCCTTAGCGAGCACACGAAACCGGTTCAATCGAGGCTGGGGAAGAATTCCCTGGTGGCGCCTTTTTGTAGTAGAGGCTCAACTTGTTCAAAATGTAGGCGTTTTCAATGGCTTTCAAGTTTCTGATGTCTACCCTCGTCTGACTGCTTTCGCGCTTCTCAGCTTCCATCCGAGACTCGATCTGCTGCGTTGAGCAGGCTGACAGTGGCGAAATGGGAGGTGCTATTCCCTGTGTGGACACGTCAAAGGTCGTTCTGCAGTGTCTAGTCAAGGGTCACAAGGAATCCCTGTAGTCGACTTGGTGTTCGCATGCGAGAAAGCACTTGACGACTCTCTCCTCACGCTGAGCGAGACTCCTAGGGAGGAATCCACCCGAATGCGTGTTAGCATTGTGCCGTCACCTCCTGCTCATTCTGTCGACGTCACGTTTTCTGGCAATAAGCGCAACTCTCGATTTCGCATGCGTCAGATAATCCATTTCCCAAAACGCGTCCTCCCTGCTATTATTGTCAGGTTCTGCAACGGCATGCTGTCAGCCCTGTACCGGAGCGCCGGCTGGGGCTGCGGCGTTGTTGTCGCAGCATCGCCTGACGCTGCCGCCGCCGCCGCAGCAGCAGCAGGAGCAGGAGCGGAAATGGTGAGGTTCAAGGGTTCCCCTCCCTCCCTCCGTCCCTCTCTCTCAGCCGCCATAATTTTACTGATTTCGCTTCCTACTCAAACACAACTTTCTGTTTTCGAATGTTAAATCCATTTACCCTGACCCGTCGCCTGCCTTGGTCCCCTCCACCCGTCCGCCCCCTCAGCTGGCAGGAACACCAGCAGCTCCCCCGGAGGTGGCGTGGGTGCAGGCGATGGACTTAGACACGTCTGCAGGGTGCTGAAGGAGCGCTCAGTCACCTTCCCCGAGGCACGCGTGCCAAGGCAGCATGGGACGAGCCAAGGTCTCCAGTTCGCGGGTGACGGTGCTCACGGCATGGCATGGGCCTTCCTTCCTCTCCGTCATGCTGGATGCCATCATGCTACCAAGCACGTCTTCGTTTACATCTCTGACGGTGCGTGACTGAGGGGTAATAAGGGGTACTGATGGGTTCATTCGGGGTAAGCACAGGGTTGTGAGGGGTTTATCATTGGACACCACCAAGCACATGTTTGATCTACTTCTATGACAGCGCGTGATTGAGGGGTAATAAGGGGTAATAAGGGGTTATAAGGGGCTATAAGGGGTGTATCATGCTGAATGGCACGAAGCACGTCTTAGTCTACTAATGCGTGCTGAAGGAGCTCTCAGTCACCTTCCCCGACGCCATGGGGAATGTGCGTGCTGTGGTGCTGCGGATATATTTGCACCCTGTGGTCACCTTCCCCTCTGCATCGCCGCTTGCTTGCCTCGATTCAGTCGCCTTGTGGGTTAGGTTGAATGGAGCTATTAAACCTGGGCTGTATGGCAACCACCATGCTGTCGCTCCAAGCCCGCCCACCTTCCATCTTCCCACCTACAGACAGCACAGGCAGCACAGACACAAGATAGTTGGAGATCAGAGGTGCCTTCCCTGTATTTCCCCCCGTTTCTCTCCCCATCCCCTCTCTCCCTCCCCATCTCTTTCTCTCTCTCCTCTCTCCCTTCTCTCGCCCTCCTCTCTCCCTCTCTATCCCTCGTCTCTCCCTCCTCTCGTCCTCCTCCTCCCTCGTCTCTCCCTCCGCTTTCCCTCCTTTCGCCCTCCCCTCTCCCTCCTCTCTCCCTCTCCTCTCCCTCCTCTCTCCTCCACTGCCCATACCTCCACTGCCCTTACCCCCACTGCCCCTACCTCCACTACCCTTACCTCCACTGCCCTTACCCCCACTGCCCCTACCTCCACTGCCCTTACCTCCACTGCCCATTCTGGTTGTCAGAGCCCCATCTGGCGGTCAGAACCCCCATTCTGGCTGTCAGAGGCCCATTCTGGCGGTCAGAGCCCCCATCCTGGTGATCAGAGCTCCATTCTAGCGGAAAGAGGCCCATTTTTACGCCGTCCACCGTCCACTGTCCTCCGGTGGACGCCGTTCACCATCCCCCATCCACCGTCCACCGTCTACCGTCCACCGTCCACCGGCCACCGTCCACCGTCCACTATCCACCAACCACTGTCCACCGGTGGACGCCGTCCACCGGTGGACGCCGTCCACCGTCCAGCCTCCACCGTGGACGCCGTCCACCGCCCACAGTCCACCGACCACCGGTGGACGATGTCTACCATCCACCGGTGGACGCCGTCCACCGTCCACCGTCCACCGTCCAGCATCCACCGTCCACCGCCCACCGTCCACCGCCCACCGTCCACCAACCACCGTCCACCGTCCACCATCCACTGTCCACCGGTGGACGCCGTCCACCGCCCACCGTCCACCGACCACCGGTGGGCGCTGTCCACCGTCCACCGTCCACCGACCACCGTCCACCGTCCCCCGACCCCCGTCCATCTTCCGTCTTCCATCTTGCTTTGTGCTGCTTGCTTGCCTTCGGTCACCCTTCTTTCCTCCCCTCCGTTCACCCCTCACCCCCCTGTTGCTCACCCCCCTTTCCCCCCGTGCATCCTTATGCCCCCCTCTCCCCCTCGTCCCCAGGCATGAAACTCAACATGCGCTCTATGCATTTGGGCTGGTGGATATATTTGTGTGCAAATCGAGGGGACAGAACCGCCCAGGGTATGTTGAGTGAGGGGCGAATTGGGGGGACTCAAACCCCCAGGGTAAGTTGAGTGCGGGGCAAATGCGGGGGACTGAACGTCCCAGGGTAAGTTGAGTGAGAGGCAAATTTGCCGGGGATCTGGGACCCCTAGCTCCACCTTAGAGCTACCTACGTCGTGCCTCCACGTGCGCTAACATTCATTATATCTACTCCCGTAGTTGCACCTGTTGCCAGCCTGATGTTTCATCACCATTTTTTTGCCGACTTCTTTTGTTCGCCGACATCACCATTACATTGTTGCAGTAAGCCTCTACCCCACAATGGCATGTCAGCTAATCCCGTTCCCACCACAAGCAAAAAATGCATTCTTGTTTAGAAGTACGTGGGTTAACAAGAGAAATGCACGTGAATTATGTTGTGATAACTGTGTAGTGTATGGCATGTACTGCTAGGCATAGGCAGAAAGGAACACTCGCAGCGGCAATCAAATGGTAGCAGCGGCAGCAACCACACGCGTCTATATGCTGTATGGATTCTGCCAAAGGTACACTTTCCCCCCTCTATTGTCCCACCCGGAACAGTCCAAATTGCAATCTCACCTACCAGGTTCTCAGCATGACTCGCGTTGACACTGAACTTGATTGGCTGCAGTCTGAACGATAACGAACTACCAAGTTGTATTTCGACAATTGCGAGTGTAAGAGCTGGGACGTTGCGCAGGCAACTAATCTAGTGCATGAGCGAGATTTTGTAACCAAGTGTCATTTCTTATTGTGGGATTTCCCCTTCAAAGTCCCGTTTGCCCGTGTTTTAAAATTTCCTGCTTACAGGCTCAGGCCACGTGTAAAAAACGTCGGACTAAATAGCAGAACAAGTGTAGTGTCACTTGCTGATTGGTGAGTGTGCAGCCCCACATATAATGCGTGGTCATCAGCACCCGCCGCTTCTTCGGGCAGGCGAGCGAAACGTGTTTACGAAATGAAACTCGGGGGCTGCCGGCAGATTCAGTCATGTTTCCCATCGAAGTGTGAGGGTCAAGCGGTTTGGCAAACAATTCCCAACCCAACAGAACCTCACGAAACTCCTCACGCCCACTGACATTGTCAGAATCCCCTGAAGGCTTGATGCTTGAACCTGGTTGGCGAACCAAAAAAAAAACTGGGCTGATGGCTTGAGCGAAACCATTTGCGGATTTTCGTTCAACTCTCGCCAAACCCAAGAATTCGTGAAGGCGAAAACCTTGGTAAGGTTACAGAACTGTCACAGCCTCCCATTTTCCGCAGCCTCCCATTTTCCGCAGCCTCCCATTTTCCCCCCTCACTTTTGTCCGTCGCCGCGCCATACCTCCAAATCCGCGGCTCCTGGCGGCATAGAGCCAATCCAACCGCTGTCCCCTGCCGTGTCCCTTCCGAATTGGGAGTTCCAAGCCAAGCAACTTTCGCCTCCGTCGCCTCCTGGGCCTTCCCCGTGGGGGAGTTGGTGAGGCAATGCTAGAGAGAACCAGGCCAGGGTGCCTGCTATCGCACATTTCCCACTGCTCACTACCCATTCTGTTAGCGTCTTCCCCTCACTTCTCACGGTTTCACGGCGCATCTGCTCTTCTCCAGCGCCGCTTCTGTCACTTCTCCGCCAGTTGCCCCATCTGCTGCTGCTGCTGCTGCTGCTGCAACAGAATCGCTGAAGATTTCATCCGCCGTTCGCTGCTACCCTGACGCGCGGTGACAATCTCGCGTCAATCCTTTATTTCGCGGCGACCATTTTGCCTCCCCAGGTAATGA